TCCTCGAATGCGTCATGTTTCCAGGATACTTTAAGGCTTGTATGAAGTGACATGAGCATCAGGCATGCCCTGCCTGAGTAAGCTTCCATTTCTGCCTGTCAGCTCAACAAATGGGATGTTATTGGTTTCCATGAATTCGATGCCAAATTGTTCATCAAGAGTCTCTGGAACAGAAAGGGTAGTAGTCGGAGATGCAGAAGCCTTGACATGCTTGGTTTTGTAAGGGAGAAGAAAAGAGAAGCCATTTCGAAGAAGTAAAGAAGGAAGAAAGAAGATTGCAGCAGTAGACTAGCCTACTTGTTTTGTTTGGATTTGCATTTTGTCTTCATATTTGCACTTTTTCCTCTCTGCAGTTTGGGTTGAAAAGGAAATCTCCCATTTGTTCCCTGCTTAACATTTTTAGCCGAACCAAAAAAATTCACCCAGTAAGTATACTCAGAATAGCTACATTCTTTCATTATTTTCCTCCTCAATTCTTTTTAAGTTAAACCAAGAAGAGGTTACAGGCATTGAAGAGATTTAAGTAACGGTAGAAGAAAGTACAAGACCATTTTTCTTTTTAAAATAAGGAACAAAATTTTCCAAGCCAAAAGTTTTCTTAGACATCCAAAAGAAAACCAGAGATGCCTAAACAAGTTCCGAAACCAGCACAGTGAGATACAACATAAAGATAACTGAACGATTTCAGTGCAGAGAGGCTAGTCTTGATCCATTCCAGCAGGTTGCTCTCTCTTCCGACCACCAGCTGGTTTTGCCATTATAATCTGCAATTTGAACACCCGACCTCGTTAACTCGAGTGAAAAGATTTTCAAGAAAATGTTTGAATCTAAATTTAACAAAAAGCAGTTGCTAGGTTGTCATCAGCCTTCTTCTTTCTGCGGAATTGCCTTGCCATTAGGATTAATTTCTCTCTTAAAAAAATCGTCCCAGTTCAAACTTTAAGCTAAATTTTTAGACCATTAGCCTGCAAGGAGAAACTTCAAAATTAGAAGCCAATGCTATAGAGAATCAAGACAAAAACATGTGAAATGATTAATGAAAACTGCCTCCATTTTCTTTTGATCA